CAGAGTCTTGACCACAAAGGTGTCTGGAGCTGAAAAAGCGCAGTAAAGGTGTGGAGTTTTGTCTCGCTCCCTTCTTACCTGTTTGCATTTGAGCGGAGCTGATGCTCTGGCCAATTTCAACGTCCACAAGTGATTTTGACATTTTGCATTTATTTAAAGGAATGAACATATCCCAAACAAGCCATCAGGATGAGGTTGAAAAAAAGGTTTCCTGACCTTTTCCCCTTAACAATACTTTGACCCCTTTTGCGTGTTTTTTCGATATGCTCGCTTCCTCTCTGTAGCTCCCACTGAATCCCATGGCGTTTGCTGCAGTGTGGGAAGATGGATTGGGAAGGGGGCTGTTAAAAAGCACTTGCCGCACCCTGCCATTTTTAAATTAGACTTCTTGTGAGATAAAAATCAGGATTCCCCCTGTCCTGTTCCTCTTCTCCCTCCCCCTCCAGATAATCTATTATTTAACTTAACCCTCTGCAGCCTTCCCTGTCCCTTCCCACACAAAGGCACAAAGATAGTTGGCTCTAACAATCATTATATATATATACAGATATATACAGTGCTTTTTTTCTATAAAAAAAGTGCTGGAACTCATAAAACCGCCTTGCCTACCCTATAAGGTTCCATCCAAAAAAGGTGCCGGAACTCCGTTCTGGATGTTCTATGAGAAAAAAAGCCCTGTATATATATATATAAATGTTGGAATCATGTATGCTTTCTATTTTGCAAAGGGTTTTTTCCTCTCTCCCCCCCCTCTTTTTTTTTGTTCTTTTTCTTTATATATATATATATACACAAACATCGTTCCTTATATAATGAGACTTCCCCCCCTTAAAAGCAACAACAATGAAAAATATATCAATTTTGTTAATATAACTGTTCCATAAATTCTCTCTCTTTTTTCTATCTGTCTGTCTCTCTGCTCCTCAATTGCTCTCTTGAAAGGGTGGATCATGCCGTCATCTTTCCATTGGTCCTTGATCGGGACCGTGAACTTCTCTTGTGTAGTCTACGTTTATAGGTGGAGGCTGTGGGAGGAGAGAGAGAGAAGAAAAGAGACCTTGTTATTCAAGAATGATGGCTACAAAGGCCCGGCTTGTCCTAAGCTGGATTGAGTGAGTTTTTCCTTCCCCGCTGGCTCGCGCTCTCTCCCTGTGGAAAAACACACCATGGAGGCTGCAGCATGTTGTTTCTCTGGCTGCCCGTGGCTAGTGTGAGACGGTGCCAGATTTCAGCCTCTTGCACAATTGTGCTTTTTCTTACTTTTGCACCCCCCCCAGAGTTGATGTATTAGTTGGGTGGGGATTTCTTGATGCATTGGGGAGGGGGGCAGGCCCTGACCTGCCTTCCCCCTGTCCCTCTACTCCTCCTTCCCACAAACAGAGATCGGGGGTTGCCAGAGAGAATTCCATTCCTGCCCCATGGATGAGCAAGAGAACTCCATGGAGGGACCCAGATGGCCAGGGGGAGCTGTGCCTAAATGAAAGCCTTGTTAGCATTAAGGGTTAGGAAAGTTTAATCTTTTTGACTGTGTGGTTTAAAATGAAACAGGAGCTCACCCCCCAACCTTTTTTTTTTATGATGAAGGTAGAAAATGGTCCAGGACTGTCTTGGAAAATGGTCCAAGACTTTCTTAAGGTATGTCTAGCCCAGGGGTCTGCAACCTTGACAACTTTAAGACTTGTGGACTTCAGCTCCCAGAATTCCTCTCAGCTATGCTGGCTGAGGAATTCTGGGAGCTGAAGTCCACAAGTCTTAAAGTTGTCAAGGTTGCAGACCCCTGGGCTAGCCTATCAAAAAGAAGGATTAGGGTGACATGATAACTGTCTTCCAGGACTTGTGAAGAGAGAGGGGATTGGCTTATTCTCCACAGTACTGGAGGGCAGGACAAGAAGTAACAAGTGGAAGCTTATTAAAGAGAGATCTAATTAGAATAGAATAGAGTTGGAAGGGACCTTGGAGGTCTTCTAGTCCAGCCCCCTGCTCGAGCAGGGGAACCTGTACCATTTCAGACAAGTGGCTGTCTAGTCTCTTCTTAAAAACCTCCAGTGATGGAACGCCCACGATTTCCGAAGGCAAGATGTTCCAACCTAGAAGTAAGGAGAAATTTTCTGACAGAACAATCAATCAATCCTGGAGTTGTGGGTGCGCCATCACTGGACTGAGATGGTATAAGGTCTCCTGTCTTGAGCAGGGGGTTGGACTAGGAAACCTCCAAGGTCCCATCCAGCCTTATGGCTCTGTGTTCTATGAAGAAAGTTATGCTAACATTTCTAACAAAAGAGCCAGCTCAGATGAACTATACCGATAGACACAGATTAGGCAATTCTGTGGTGTAGCTCAGACTCGCCAGCTGGATTAGAATACCGTTCGAATAGAAAGCCAGTTTGGTGTAGTGGTTAAGGCATCAGGGTAGAGACAGGGAGTCTGTGAATGGGTCCCGCTATAGACGCAAAGCTAGCTGGGTGACCTTGGGCCAGTCCCCCTCTCAAGTCTAGGAAAGAGGAGATAAATAGCAAAGCAATCCCCAAAATCTTGCCCAGAATCCTGCAGGGATTTATCCAGACATATTATCTGGAGTCAACAGTCATTCAAGGGCGCATATGCATTCTCACGCACGCCTTCAACAGCAATCTTATGTTGACCCCAGAGTGTGCAACTTTTGAAGAAAGGAAAAAAAACTACGGTACATGAATTGGGCAGGAAAATGACCACATTCTGCAACTTAGGACTGTTTTTCTTCTTGGCCTCTTGGTTGGTCCAAAACAAATCCATGCATCAAAAGATCAGGCTTTTATCTTGTGGAATAGGAACCTCCTGTCCTCTCCCTGTTCTTCTCCAGAATGCCATGTTGCATGTATTAGCAAACCAATGTTTGCTTCAGTTTGGAGTCTATTCCCTACATCCATCTTTTCGGAGGTTTTCTGAGAGGGTCATGCGATGTGCAGGATGTGCTTACATGACCATTCCAGGAAATGTTGAGGGTACGGAAGGAGAACAGAGAGCTGGCCCTGGAACTCCACATTCTTCTACCGCTGACCAGTTGGCTGGGCTGAAAGGTTGAATTCCAAACCCCTGGAGGCCACTACTTGTACCCCTCTTTAATTTATACTCATCCTGTCTTACGAGTTCCCCTACTTCGTCCTCTGTCCTTGCACAGTTCTGAGAAACCCAAGATTTATAGAAATTTGCTGAGGAACACATGTTGTCCAAGAAGGCCTTGCCAACTATCGGCATTCCTTTCGTTAATTAAAAGACTCAGTGCTCCATTACCAGCCAGCCCCTGCAGTCCAGCTTTTCTAGGGGATGTTTGAATTCATAATCTCTGTAATGCTAAGGCTACTGTCAAGAGCGTTTCCCCACGTGTCGAGGGGTCCAAAGGAGCAGCTTGAATGTCAGAATGAATCAGCTGATCTCTGCTCACAAGGAAAGGAAAGCTAGAACAGAAACACAGGACACCAGGGACGCTTCTGCAGCAGTGCAGGCATTGTCTTAATTGAAAGCAGGTTTAAATCTCATTTGTGGAAAGTCTTTCAGGGATTTCCCTCCTAATTAAAAGAACATTACAAATGAGTAGGTGGTTGATAGAAAAAAGTGTGAACAGGATAGAGAGAAGCAGTTCTAATTCTATCAAGAGAAAAAAAC